TAATAAATCTAGCTTTCCGGATTGACAATGTTCCGAAAATGTACTTTGCCTGCCTGCCATCCTCAGTAACGTCGAAACAGGTAGAGTCGTCATCTTTTTGAAGGCCATAGATAGGCCTAAATAAAATATTTTTAATTGTGTACCAGTTTAACGTTGAATATTATTTATGATTTTAACTTTATACACAAGTGCCAAAATACTATAATATTATACAGTATCTGTGGAGAGAAAAAGAGAGGCAGAGAGATCGAAAATGGGTGTATGCCAGTCATTGAGGAGAGTATATTAATTTAGGAGCACGAACTGATTCTTCACAATTGTGCAACCCCATACACTTAACAGAATAGCCAATGTTTTTAGGTGTATAACGATAAAATAGATTGTAGGTTAATTAAACATTAATTTTTCAGTCCATTTTTTTAACATGACGATTTGTTATAGAATATCCATTTCATATTTTGAATGTTTTGAATATTTTACCCTTGGCTGTGATTTCGCTAGATAGTAGATAGGGACAGTGGGAATCTCGTTAATCAATTCATGCGTGTCACTAATTAGATGACGAGGCATTTGGTTACCGTAAGATAGTCATAGTTATGTATCGGAGAAGAAGGCTAAGCTAATCAGAAGACTAACCATATTCTGGTCACTAACGTTATGCATCGGAGGAGGCCTCCAATCAGAAGACTATTCCCTAATTGTCACTGACATTATGAAGGCTAATCAGAAAGTTATACGCTATGTATTTTAATTTTACAGTTTTAATATGTGTGTGTGTGTTTGTTTGTGTATGAGAAACGCTTTTAAGGGGGTTCATATAATTCTACGAAATCAGTATAAATATGGAAAAATCTTATAGTTTGTTTCGTTTTTTTTTGTTTTTTTTTTTTGAAGTTTGTAGACACTGTCAATGAAAAAATGAGATACATCTGTAAAAATGAACGTTTATTGGTGTTCCGCGGTTCTCAAGCTATAGACTGCCGTAGCTTCAGGAACAGCGGTCAGGACTTCACACAAAGGTTGCAACTTAACAACAGTGGTCAGCCGGCAGGTCTTTATACAAGTGATTGAGTTCTTTCGCAATATGAGAAATCGCTTATTCCGAGGGAAATAAATTAAGGCCAAGCGTGACCCGACCACAAATGCAGGTCAGCTACACGTCTGTGTCTTACCGCGCCACATGTTTCACACTTGTGTAACTAATTACCTTGGACAACTACGACATTAGGTTATAAACCGATTTTTAGCACCTGAGTCTACACAGGCTTGTTAAGACTCGTGAGAAAGGCTTAAAGACTTCCCCAAAAGTTAGATATTCTAATAATGGTTGCTAAACACAAAATTCGCAATATTAAGAGTAAAAGAAAAAGGTTGGTAATGCGAGATTTGAAGTTAAATCATGTTAAGTTCTTTAAAAGTAAGATATTTAAAAGCCACCTGCGCAAACTAATTATAGTAAACTGTGTTTAAACGTTTTGTGAGTATTATTTTCAACCTGAACAGCACCTTATGCAACACATGGACTAAACGATAAAATTAAGAGACCTCAAGATCCAGGCACATAGCAATCCTTAATTTTATATTGCTGACTAAAGACAAGGTAACCAGTCAGCGGCATCCAACACTTACAGCCCTCCAGTAGAACAGCGGCATGTCTGCGGACTTACAACGATAGAAACCGGGTTTCGATACCCGTGATCGGCAGAACACAGATAGCCCATTATGCAGCTTTGTGCTTAACTTTAAACAAACAAACACCTACATGACTACTCTTAACTTAACAACGGGATTAACTGTCACTTTAATAATACTCCTGAAGGTGAAAGTACGGAACGCGTTAAGCAAAATGTCGCGGACTCGAACCTTGGACCTTCTAATCCATGGCATGGTTGATACGTTAACCGCTAGGGCATGCCAAGATGACATTCTGAGACGTATAACACGATCCTCTCTTAATTAACTTCTGGACACTAAATAAGCTCCAGGAACTATTATCTAAATTTATCCTATAGTTCTTTTTTAACTGCTGTAAGGCGAAATGTTGCCCAACATCGTAATGTGACTAAAAAAATCCAAGTTTTTTTTTCTGAGGCACTAGAAGAGTTGAACATCAAATAGCAAACAGGTATGTTTTTTTCACCTGAAACAAAGCTTCTCACATACAGACGTCGATCATTCTCACAATTGTATGTATGCGATTTGTACCATGCTACTAAAAGTCCCCGTACGAGACTTCATCCAATATTGTACTTATCTACAAAAAGTTAACAACTAATATCTTTCATATTTGTGTTTTTCTGGTAATAATAAAAAATAGTTAGGTAATATATATATATAATACTTAAATTAAAAATTGCTTAACTTTTCAAAGAAGAACAACGATATTTACCTGTCCTTGAGGAGCGCTTGGCTTGTTTGTCAGTTTCACCTTAGCAAAAGATACGGAGGACTCCATCCAGTGAGAGCCGAAATTTGGTGATTCAGGGTGGATATACACTGCTTGCTGTGGCGCCGGCTCAGCCTTTCCACCCGGAACCCAGTCTCCGTTCATGTATTTCCAACGATGCCCAGACAGTTGGACGAACTCGAGGTATATCGAATACATACCGCGGGGTTCCAAGCCGCTGAAGCGGAGCTGCACCACTGGAAACATCCTTCTGGAGGAAAAATAGCATGAATATGTATCTCGGTTCGTTTAGTCATTACGGTGTGTTGACTGTAATGGAATTGGTTCTTTATATTATTGAACATAAGGTTTATTAAAATGACATGTATTAGCCAATCACAGGGAAAGAAAAAGTGCTTCAAAAGATTAATTAACTTTGAGATGACAGTTTTTTTTTTTTTTTGTTGTTATTGTTTAGAGCAAAGCCACGTTGATCTATTTGCTGTGTCCAGCGTGGGGAATGAATTCCGGATTTTAGCGTTGAAAGTTGATAGGCTTATCGCTGTCCCACCGGGGAACCTTCGAGATGAAACAAGTTATAAATTTTTGGCACCTACAGACAAGCCGTTTTATAAGGCTGACCGAATAACTTCCCGACAAAATATATGGACTGTCAAGGCCGACTGATTCTGAATATTTTAGAAAAAATGAAAATGTTTATTCAAGAAGTAAGAGAAAGTTGTTTTGATACATTTCAAGAAGTTTCTGGATGAAAATGACGACTTGAATGTGTTAATTCATTATTCAAAACTTAAAGAAATAAAGCAGCGAGTTGTACACTTGTAGTCTGTTTTACTTATGGTCATGGTTGCCGAGCTCCTTGAAATTCTAGCCTGTTTTAAATGTAAATTTTGTTTGAAAAGTTCCATAAATATTTATAATAGGGAATAATGGAGGAAATTATTATAATGTAAATATTAACTTAGGCTATGTTCTGTTACTCAGGTTTGTTACAGATTAGAAGTTAATAATACGGTCTAAAATATTTGACATTCCAATTAACATTAATGTTGAATTGAATAAAAAAAAACATTAATGCTTTCAACTTGACTTAACCACTTTGTTATTCGTAGATCTCATTATTGCTGAAGTCCTACCAAGCGATGAGTTAAATTTGTAAATTTCAATAAAACCGTTGCTGGCATTCGCTGTCAAATTCCATATTTGAAGTTTAGATTTGATTCCAAGACATTAGTTGAAAAAAAAAATTGATAAACAAAATACGGCTATAATAACAAAGAAATAGACTATCGTTGCTTATCATAATGTATTTATACTAAACAAATCTTTACAGAAGATAAAACAACAGAAGTGACATTTTGTATTAATCATAAATATATCAGATAAAATAACCACAAAAACCAAATGAAGCGAGTAACATCGAGTTTGGTTGTACGTATTAATATTAAATATACAGTAAGATAAAGCATATGATTAGAAGCTATTAACGCTGTATATGATGACGTATATTAAGAATAAATAAAACATTACACCACATAAAACACCTTCTTAACTAGAATAAGTAACTAATGTTGTACATAATGACGTATATTAAGAATATATAAAACATTACACCTTATAAAACACCTTAACTAGAAGAAGTAACTAATGCTGTACATAATGACGTATATTAAGAATATATAAAACATTACACCTTATAAAACATTACTAGAAGAAGTAACTAATGCTGTACATAATGACGTATATTAAGAATATATAAAACACCTTAACTAGAAGAAGTAACTAATGCTGTACATAATGACGTATATTAAGAATAAATAAAACATTACACCTTATAAAACACCTTAACTAGAAGAAGTAACTAATGCTGTACATAATGACGTATATTAAGAATATATAAAACATTACACCTCATAAAACACCTTCTTAACTAGAAGAAAAAACAAACGCTCTATATGACACATATTAAGAATAAGTAAAACATTAAACTAGGTAAAATACCTTCTTAAGCAGAAGAAGCAATTAATGCTGTACACAATGATACTTAGTAAGACAAAATAAAGCAATAAACCAGATAAAACACCTTCTTAACTAGAAGAAGCAACTAACGCTGTACATAATGACGTATATTAAAAATAAATAAAACATTAAGCTAGATAAAACTCCCTTCTTAACTAGAAAAAGCAGTTACCGCTGAACATCATGTATTACTACTACATAAAACATTAAACCAGATAAAACTCTCTTCTACACCAAGAAAAAACGACTGAAATATTACTACCAAATACTGCACTAGACAAGGTGAAAGTCACTCATGGCCAGAAGAGACTAATGTTGTGTGTGATAGTGTGTATTAATGCTGAATACATTAGATCAAATAAAACGCTTGTAACCAGAATAAAGTATCATGCATGTATTAATGGCAATGAAACAAATAAGAAAAACCTCACCCATAGCCAGAAGAAGGGACTAATGTTCATTACGATAGCATGTATTAATGGCAATGAAACACATCAGAAAAACCTCACCCATAGCCAGAAGAAGGGACTAATGTTCATTATGATGGCATGTATTAACAAT